GTGGTCGAGAAGTTTAAGGAGGCCAAGATGCGCTCGGCTGCCTTTAAATCCTTCATTCCACGAAGGTCCAGGTCTGAGCCTGAACAACAAAGGGGTCCTGGCCCGTCTCGATCTAAGGATCAGAGGCGGGCTTAGAAGACTAGTGTCGCAACTCGCGCTCCTCCCCCGCCTGCGGGTAGGGCTCAAAAGGGGCGTGGGTCAAAGGGTGACAGGCAAGATTTGAGGGAGGTGATCCAGACTAGGCTTTCTCAACACTCTCGTCTGGACCAGAGTAAACGCTCTCGTCTGGACCAGAGTAAAACCTGAGCCATCTAATCTCATCTTCCTCTCCTTAATTCCCCTAAAATGCTTCCCTCCTAACTGAGGTTAGGTAGGAGCCTCCTGCGCTTGCATTGCAGTCTCTTTTGCTGGGCCTATGATGTTTTGGCTAGTTTCTATGTCTCATAGAACTACCTACTTATGGTCCGGACCCCAGTGCTCTTTCGGATTTCGCCTCCAGCCTATATTCATGAGCCTGAGTCAAGTGTGGGAGCCATGGTTGGTGAGTACGATCCATTTCATCTACTCTACTGCTAGTTTTTGTGTATTCAATACTAGCCTTTTTCTGCAGCGCTACTCTGACCTGTTCTGTTTTCTGACTTTTTAGGTTTGACCCCCCTGCTAAGTCGGTTGACCGATTATAGCGATGGTTTCACTCATCGCTTCTGGATCCAGACTGGTGGTATCCCTCATCTTCGGCTTGGACACGCAGCCTGGGCTTCTGTGGAAGTCTTCCAGCATCAGGTCCCCAGTAAAACGCTGCAACCTCAGGACCTGCGGGTCCTTCTCGCGGGCTAGTACTCTTCTGAGTACATGCTTCGTGACATGCTCCCTATCCTAAACTGGCCAGGGTGCGCTACTCATCTCTCACCCTGAGGGGTCTCCTGAGATTTAAGTCTTTCCTTAACCATCATGCACGTTCTCTGAGCTAGAGCTCCTCTCGCTGAGGCGTTAAGGGGTTCAACACTCCATAGACGGTCAGGCCTGCGGGTCATCCCTGTCACACTGCCCTTATGGTCGAACCATTAATCGCCCCTCTGCGGAGTGGGCTTAAGTACTCTGCGTTCCCTGAGGTACAAGGGATTTGTGTTTCTGTGGAAAAACCCTCTTGTGTGCTTCTTCTCTGAGGAGCAGTAAGCTCTGTACGCACGAATGGTTATTTGGTCCCGCTATTTTTTCGGGTCTGGTTATATGGGACCCACGCTCTCTATCAAGATAGAGAGCATGAGACGGTGTCCAGCCGCACCAGTGGACTGTCTCTTATTGGGCCCTGCTGGGTTACCCCTTCTAATCTAGCGCCTCCTTCTGGTCGAGCTGAGAAGTGCTCCCCTCACTGTGAGGGTTAGCTATGAGCCGCTCCCAGTATGTGCTGTAAGGGCCTGCCTCAGCTTGAGAGCCGAGAGTGCTGCTCCCGAAAACTCCATTTGCAACGAAACTGAGTGTTAGGCCTCCTTGGTCAGTTGCGTCTATCTTGGGACCCTGTTGTTCCCTGTAGAAATGTGTGATCCCCTTCTAGCAGGATCCTGTTCTGATTTCTGATGTCCCATTTGCGATCTATATGCTCCCCGGACTTGGCTGAGCTCCCCTCTCTGCGGGAGGGTCCCTTTTAGCTCACCGGTCCTGGGCAGACTGGGTGAGTCCTCCTCTCGACTTGAGAGTTAGGTGCTCTGACCCTGGGCTATTGATCGCTTTGGTCGAGCTGGGTTCCTCTCTCTCCTTGCTAGGGGTTGAACCCTTCGCTCTTGAGCTCCGTGGCAGTGACATCCGGTAGTTAGGCCGCTTGCTGCCTCCCTGATAAGCTGCCTCTATTTGAGTCACGCCAGGCAGTGCTCCCCTCACCTCGGAGGGTTGTCTTTGAGCCTGCCGCTCCCGATTGAGTGTCTGTGGACTTCTCTCATCGAGTCCTCCGCTCGTTTGAGCTCCATTGAGTAGCAGCCAGGTTGTGAGGCCTCTCTCCGCCTCCCTGTTAAGCCGCTCTCCTTGTGGGTCGAGCTTAGCAGTGCCCTTGGGGGTTTCATATGAGCACGCCCCTCTCGATCTGAGCATCCGAGCCCCCTTCTATTTTTGAAGTTGGGCCTCCGCTCTTTTGAGCTCCGGATAGCAGTCATGCCAGGTGGCTGGGCCATCTCTTGCCTCCCTGGCGGGTTGCTTGTTAAGTGAGCTAGCTGTGCTCCCCTCACCATGAAGGGCCTCTTGCAAGCGCACCGCTCCCTTCTGGGCATCTGTGAGCAGATGCTTTGGAGTCTGTTCTGTGAGCATGCCACAGTCACATCGGGCTCCTAGGCTGGTTTAATACAGCTTCGGTTACCCCTTAAGCAACGGTGTTTCTAAATCCATGCTATGGTAAGTGCACACGCTGAGCTTCTGTGCACTTTCTAAAATCCACATTGTGGTAAGTGTGCACGCTAAGCATTCTGCACACTTTCTAAAACGCAGCTGTCAGCCTCATTCCCTGTCTCTGAGTTGGTTTAGGCCCCGGTTGTCACCTTGGGCTCCACTCAACTTATGTATCTCTGTTGATACATTTCTGAGCAGGGTGTTGCTACCAAAGACCTGTTGAGTCAGTTCTTTGAGCAGGTTTATTCAGAACCGGCGGTAGCCCCCCTGGATGGCAGGCCAGGGTCTGGTTTGGTTTTTAGACACCTGGCCGTATCCCTTAAAGGAATCTCTGTCTTCTGATTCCAAGCCTTGAGCTCTGCCCTAGGCTTGGGCTTCCTAGCCCAGCCCTTAACAGGTAAGTTCTTTAGGGTATGCAGCTCAGGCCTTGGCCGAAGGGGATAATGTCACTGACAGCTGTCAGGCGTCCTTGGGGCAACTCCCATGGCTATGGTAGAGTTGGTTCTTAGTGCTCACCATGGTTTCTGGCATGCAATCCCCTCAGCATGGCGGCGTGGGTATACCATTCCCCATAGCGACCTCTAGAGGACGCAGTTCGAAGTTCCCTTGAAAGGGAACGTCTCAGGATGTATGCTTCAGACACCGGTCACGCTGAAGGCGATCCCCATAGCGACTTCTAGAGGATGCAGTGTCTCGTTCCCTTCTCAGGGAACCATGGTTACATACGTTACCTGAGACATTTTTATCAGCTATTTTAACTTTTATTCTGATGGCACCCATTCACTGCAGAGGATCCATTGGTGTTGTTCTGATGACTAAAAAAAGAAAGTGAATGGCCTGAGGGTGAGTATTTAACAAAGTGAAATTTTTAGGTGAACTATTCTGATTTGCAGAATATGAATTAAGTCCGATTCTAACATGTTTCTAACACCTAACATGTTTTCATGGTTAACAGCGAAGCTTTTTTATTTGGTGTAAACTTGCACTAAACCGGTATGATGACTTTAAATGTCAAAAGAATTTCAGTCTTTAAAATCGCTTTTTGAGACTCTGCTTTCCTTTTCCGTTCATCAGCGGAGCATTTTTAAATGTAGCATGTTTTACTTAAACATGCTCTAGACAGAAGTATTTGACCCTTGCAAGGTGTTTTGCACATGAACACCACATTTTTAATATGCCAACCAACACAATGACATATAAAGATGACACATCTATGCACCATAATGTATAAGCATTAGAAGGTTAATATAAATTATTAACAATAATAAAAACCTAAGCATGACATAGCTTTGGAAAAATATATTAAATAAATTACTTATTAATTTGGATCAAAAAAGCACACACCTGCCTGTTGCCATGCACTATGAATTTGTGTCGTTGTGTGTACGTACCCACATCTTTCATTTAAAATCTTGAGCAAACACAAAGAGCAGGCGGAGGCTGCATGTGCTGACGTACAGCCAGTGGCTATGAGAGAGAATCAGTTTGCTCTGAGCCTCTGAATCACACAGCATCTCTACAGAAGCATCTCCAACAAACAGAAGAGCAGCAGGGGATTTTTTAAACCAACATCTGTAGAACTGCAACATTTGTTAACTACACCTGCAGCTTTCAGATTCCTCTATTTCTATTTATTCCATTATCTGAATCATTTTTTTACTCCATAATTGTTTCTGATTTAATTTTTTTGTTTCCTCTGTAATTTCCATCCCTTATCTGCTATATGTTCTTCCCCATCTATTTATCTTAAAAAATCCTGATGAACGACTCATACCTGCAGTTTCTTGAAGGGCAGAAACCTGCAAACAGCACGTCTTTGCCTCCTAATGGCAGCACCATTGATCCTCCAGCAGGGGCGCTGTGCGAGCAGGTTCAGATCCAGGCGGAGGTTTTTCTCACCTTGGGTATTGTGAGTCTTCTGGAGAACATCCTCGTCATCTTGGCCGTGGTCAAAAACAAGAACCTTCACTCTCCGATGTATTTCTTCCTGTGCAGCCTGGCTGCTGCGGACATGTTGGTGAGTGTATCGAACTCTTTGGAGACCATTGTCATTGCCGTACTAAGCAGTCACCTTTTGGTGGCCAGTGACCATTTTGTGCGTTTGATGGACAATGTGTTTGATTCAATGATCTGTATTTCTCTCGTGGCATCAATCTGCAACCTCTTGGCGATTGCCATCGACCGCTACGTCACGATTTTCTACGCCTTACGCTACCACAGCATAGTGACCATACGCAGAGCTCTGGTGGCCATCGCTGCGATCTGGTTGGTGTGTGTGGTTTGTGGGATCGTCTTCATAGTGTACTCAGAGAGCAAGACCGTGATTGTTTGTCTGATCACAATGTTCTTTGCCATGCTGTTGCTCATGGCCACTCTCTACGTACACATGTTTCTTCTCGCCAGACTTCATGTAAAGAGAATCGCAGCATTACCCCCAGCGGCCACCAGCAACCCGACCCCACGTCAACGCAGCGGTATGAAGGGAGCCGTGACCATCTTCATCCTCCTCGGCGTTTTTGTGTGCTGCTGGGCACCATTTTTCCTCCACCTCATTCTGCTGGTGTCCTGTCCACACCATCCGCTCTGCCTCTGCTACATGTCTCACTTCACCACGTACCTGGTCCTCATTATGTGCAACTCTGTGATTGACCCACTCATCTACGCCTGCCGCAGTCTGGAAATGAGGAAGACCTTTAAGGAGATACTGTGCTGTTTTGGCTGTCAGCCTCCACTTTAGACGAATGATTGTACAAAGAAAAAGTTTACCTTGATGTACGATGCCAAAGCATGGTGGTCATAATGAGGTTACATTTCAAGAGATAAAGATACGGACAAAAGCAGACTCATAGCATTCAGAGAAAAGGACTGGAAATTTGTTGAGCACTATCAAGGATTTGGAAAGCTCAGGTGCTGCAAGAAAATCAGAGAACTGGGGGTGGATCAAATGTGACCTATCGCTTGCTGAAAGGGCAGATCAATTATGTGTTAGTCGTGTCTATTATGTGTATTCATTATGCAGTGGGGTCTGACAGTCTGAAACTACACTGAAAATCGAGGATTTAAACTCTCATTAAAACCTTTAAAATCAATGGACAGTTTTAGGATTTTAGAAAATTTTATAAAAGACGTGATTAACATTAATATTAAATACTTCAATTGCTGCATTATTTCTAAGTGTCAATTCAAATGAGTAAATTAGTGACATTGATCGTTTGACTGTTTTTCAAAAGCCATTTTGGCAAATCGGTGGTGAATTTGTATGATCTTGTTTGTACGTTTTCATATTATCTGCTTAGGGCCCACTGATGGTTAGGTTTATGGGTGGATCTTTATGCTTACTATTTTTTTCTAGAAATCATACATTTTTGTACCAATCAAGATTTGCCAAAACTGTTATCTCTTTGGATCATTTCAATTTATACTGGATCACATCATATCGAGTTCTATACAAACTTGTGGAGTTCATGCAAGCTCAAATGTTGATGTCATTAAAGCAAATTGACAAACCAAATAATAAAACAGATCATTAGGAAATCATATTAATTTTTCAATTTCACGTTTCACTCAAATTATTAGGCTTATAAAATAGATTGAAATGCAAAAATGCTATTAAGAAATGCAAAAAGGAAAAACATTTTAACTAGTGGTCTCACACTTCTAGACCTCACAGTACCTTATGTTCCAAATGTGTAGGCTATATAGTTTGGTTTAGTTTAGTGTCAGTGTTTAGTTTAGTGACGGTGTTCGAGCCATTTTGGTGTGTAAATGCATCTGCTCAAAGCTGCTGAAGTGGAATCTTACTAACAGTCTGTGGTGAAACTTGCTTGCTGACATCAAAAACATCAGGGCACTTCCTAGTCTGTCTTTTTGAGGTGTCACTAACTTTGTTGCTTCTCATAGTTGTCAGAATCAGATTCAGCTTGGACTGTCTCCAGTTAGCAACATTATGCAGTCAAACTCAGCCCAAAAGCTGCAGAGACCACAAACCAGGATTCGAACTCAGGTCACCCAAAGCACAACTTCAACCTGTTGGCTCTGACTATCCCTCTTATTCCGTATTTTTTATGGGTGTCTAATGGTTTAAGTTTGATACTCTGCTTATTTAGCTGACCTGTATTGAGTCTCACTGCAATGTTATTAGGACTGTGCTTGCACTCTATGAACACTATTAGCGCATGAGCTTTAGCACTTGACTTGTATCTGTGGCCACAAACTCCAGCAAATGTCTTCAAAAAAAAAAAAGTAAAATAAAAGGGTTTAGCTTAATCACGGCATGTGTTCTCTGTTTCTTCATGTAGGATACATGAATGCCAGTCTGTGTTTCTATAAAAATGTTTGTGTGTGTGTATGCGTTGATGTGTGATTTTTCAGATCAGATTCAAATCCTCTTCCTTCTCAGTTTTTCTCACCTTGGGTATTGTGAGTCTTCTGGAGAACATCCTCGTCATCTTGGCCGTGGTCAAAAACAAGAACCTTCACTCTCCGATGTATTTCTTCCTGTGCAGCCTGGCTGCCGCGGACATGTTGGTGAGTGTTTCGAACTCTTTGGAGACCATTGTCATTGCCGTACTAAGCAGTCACCTTTTGGTGGCCAGTGACCATTTTGTGCGTTTGATGGACAATGTGTTTGATTCAATGATCTGTATTTCTCTCGTGGCATCAATCTGCAACCTCTTGGCGATTGCCATCGACCGCTACGTCACGATTTTCTACGCCTTACGCTACCACAGCATAGTGACCATACGCAGAGCTCTGGTGGCCATCGCTGCGATCTGGTTGGTGTGTGTGGTTTGTGGGATCGTCTTCATAGTGTACTCAGAGAGCAAGACCGTGATTGTTTGTCTGATCACAATGTTCTTTGCCATGCTGTTGCTCATGGCCACTCTCTACGTACACATGTTTCTTCTCGCCAGACTTCATGTAAAGAGAATCGCAGCATTACCCCCAGCGGCCACCAGCAACCCGACCCCACGTCAACGCAGCGGTATGAAGGGAGCCGTGACCATCTTCATCCTCCTCGGCGTTTTTGTGTGCTGCTGGGCACCATTTTTCCTCCACCTCATTCTGCTGGTGTCCTGTCCACACCATCCGCTCTGCCTCTGCTACATGTCTCACTTCACCACGTACCTGGTCCTCATTATGTGCAACTCTGTGATTGACCCACTCATCTACGCCTGCCGCAGTCTGGAAATGAGGAAGACCTTTAAGGAGATACTGTGCTGTTTTGGCTGTCAGCCTCCACTTTAGACGAATGATTGTACAAAGAAAAAGTTTACCTTGATGTACGATGCCAAAGCATGGTGGTCATAATGAGGTTACATTTCAAGAGATAAAGATACGGACAAAAGCAGACTCATAGCATTCAGAGAAAAGGACTGGAAATTTGTTGAGCACTATCAAGGATTTGGAAAGCTCAGGTGCTGCAAGAAAATCAGAGAACTGGGGGTGGATCAAATGTGACCTATCGCTTGCTGAAAGGGCAGATCAATTATGTGTTAGTCGTGTCTATTATGTGTATTCATTATGCAGTGGGGTCTGACAGTCTGAAACTACACTGAAAATCGAGGATTTAAACTCTCATTAAAACCTTTAAAATCAATGGACAGTTTTAGGATTTTAGAAAATTTTATAAAAGACGTGATTAACATTAATATTAAATACTTCAATTGCTGCATTATTTCTAAGTGTCAATTCAAATGAGTAAATTAGTGACATTGATCGTTTGACTGTTTTTCAAAAGCCATTTTGGCAAATCGGTGGTGAATTTGTATGATCTTGTTTGTACGTTTTCATATTATCTGCTTAGGGCCCACTGATGGTTAGGTTTATGGGTGGATCTTTATGCTTACTATTTTTTTCTAGAAATCATACATTTTTGTACCAATCAAGATTTGCCAAAACTGTTATCTCTTTGGATCATTTCAATTTATACTGGATCACATCATATCGAGTTCTATACAAACTTGTGGAGTTCATGCAAGCTCAAATGTTGATGTCATTAAAGCAAATTGACAAACCAAATAATAAAACAGATCATTAGGAAATCATATTAATTTTTCAATTTCACGTTTCACTCAAATTATTAGGCTTATAAAATAGATTGAAATGCAAAAATGCTATTAAGAAATGCAAAAAGGAAAAACATTTTAACTAGTGGTCTCACACTTCTAGACCTCACAGTACCTTATGTTCCAAATGTGTAGGCTATATAGTTTGGTTTAGTTTAGTGTCAGTGTTTAGTTTAGTGACGGTGTTCGAGCCATTTTGGTGTGTAAATGCATCTGCTCAAAGCTGCTGAAGTGGAATCTTACTAACAGTCTGTGGTGAAACTTGCTTGCTGACATCAAAAACATCAGGGCACTTCCTAGTCTGTCTTTTTGAGGTGTCACTAACTTTGTTGCTTCTCATAGTTGTCAGAATCAGATTCAGCTTGGACTGTCTCCAGTTAGCAACATTATGCAGTCAAACTCAGCCCAAAAGCTGCAGAGACCACAAACCAGGATTCGAACTCAGGTCACCCAAAGCACAACTTCAACCTGTTGGCTCTGACTATCCCTCTTATTCCGTATTTTTTATGGGTGTCTAATGGTTTAAGTTTGATACTCTGCTTATTTAGCTGACCTGTATTGAGTCTCACTGCAATGTTATTAGGACTGTGCTTGCACTCTATGAACACTATTAGCGCATGAGCTTTAGCACTTGACTTGTATCTGTGGCCACAAACTCCAGCAAATGTCTTCAAAAAAAAAAAAGTAAAATAAAAGGGTTTAGCTTAATCACGGCATGTGTTCTCTGTTTCTTCATGTAGGATACATGAATGCCAGTCTGTGTTTCTATAAAAATGTTTGTGTGTGTGTATGCGTTGATGTGTGATTTTTCAGATCAGATTCAAATCCTCTTCCTTCTCATTCTCAACACAAATGCTTTTAATGCAAAGTGCTGTTCTGTTATCATATTGACATTTAACTTGACCTGTAAGGTGAACAGTAAGATGAACAAAGATAAAAGAAATCCAAGACTCAGTCATTGCAAGCAATCTTTATGTGTTTATCTACATAAGCTTTAAATGTCAATATTTGTTTATTATTCTCCCAGTGGAGTTACTTGCTTGTTGTGAGTCTTATTACATGTCAGAAGAACTCTCTGTACTCTATTGTCCTGAATAATCAATTCTGAGTTGCTCAAAAATGAACTATAAAATGAGAAAAGTGGTCAAAGTCCTTCCATAATGATCCGTTAATTGTTACCTGTATGCAGCATACAGTAGAATTCATAAAACATTGGATCTTATGAAAAACTGTGCAATGAGCAGTTATAGGTTGGATTAAAATCTATGTCCTTCCCCTAGTGTATTTTAGAAAGAACTACACTATGAAATCATGTGAAATCTATGAATAACACATACCAAAATGTATCCTGTTATGGATCCATTGAAGCATATGTATTTAAAATATAACAAATAAATAGAAAGAACTGGCTGCGAACGTTCATTTGGTAGATACTTTTATCAGTCAAACCCTTTGCTGAGCTCTACCAATCAAGCTACACTCTTAAAAATAAAGGTTCCAAAAGGGGCTTTTCACAGCGATGCCATAGAAGAACCAGTTTTGGTTCCCCAAAGAACCTTTGAGTGAACAGTTCTTAAAAGAACAATTTTTCTTAGTGTGAAGAACATTTTAATAATCTAAAGATCCTTTTTCTACTGTAAAGAACCTTTTGTGGAATGAAAAGGTTCTA